GGTGCAACTCTGATTTCTATAATATTTTTGTTTATGTAATCCATAGAAAAGATTATTTCAGATACTTAAATTTGTGTGTGAGAGAGAGATAAAAATACTTCAAAGTTGATATTTTAAAATCACCTATTATATATTTAATTTGTATTTAATATATCAAGAATTTTAAAATTATAATTAAATTAAAATCATGTATGGAAGATATCATTATTTGTATCAATCTAATAATATTGAAGAGATTGGTTCGAATCCTACTTGGAGAGATTTGATTCATTCCGAATTAAAGAATRCAGAATGTAAGAATGAACGGATTCGCTTTGACCGTTAAGAGTAGGTAACGGTATCCTCTTAGTTTTGTTTTACGACGTTTCGACAAATTTTTCGTTGGCTGTGAAAATACGCTTTACTCGATTCATTGTGATCCATCTGTCTAACCAAATTGACAATCAAAAAACAGTAGTAACAAGAACTCAACCCCCCCCCTCCCCGCCCGCGAAATATATACTTAGATATAAGAAAGAAAGAAAAATGAATCGACTAAAACACCTAGTTTTGTTGTCATATGTACCATAAGCCCGTAAACCGAGGTATAAACAAAGATACGATAACGATTTCTCTAAACTAGTTTTTTTTTTTTGTTAAATGGTAAATATTTCATTAGACAATGAAAAAGTTTTGGTTTAACAAGCAGAATCTATAAAACCTAGCATATGAATTCATGGCAAAAAAATTAAAACATGGAAAACATAAGGCAATGATTCGTTTTTCAGTCCGTCCGCTCGACATTAACCCGAGAGGTAATGGAGCTAGACGAAGTGATCCCGATGGTAATTGTTGTTCCTAACCTATTGAAGGAGTGAAGTAGCGCAGCAAATCGCATAATCCTATCGATCCACGCCGAAAACCAAAGAAGCATTTCAAATGAGGCTCAACACGATGTTGTCAACGGCTATGACCACAAGCAGTCGATCACATACGCCCCTTACGTCAAGTGAGAGTTGCAAAGCGGCACAAGACCATGAGCTAGCATTAGGTCGAAGCCACACTACCCTAACTGTGAACGACGAGAGCTCCCCCTTCCTAGAACAGACCCGAGGTCTCGAAAAAGGCCAGRACAGAGCTAGATACATCCCAAGATTGTGTCGCCGAACACTAAGGATTTACTACTCCTCTAAGGCATCTAACAGAATCAAACCAAATCACAACACTAAGCCTAGCCAACGACAACCACACCATAACAAGAAAGTGAGACACAACCAACACCAAGGCCTTACCAACCGATTAGACCTGATACACGCAGAAGCAGCCCAGAGCAGCAGTTAGGGAGCCTCCACTGGAAGCAAACCGCAACAATAACCACCACTATGAGGGACCATTTGTAACCCAAAAAAGCGCCATTGACAAAACCTCACACTCGGATATCCATGACCACTCCAAAGAAAAGCATCCATGCTGTCCACAGAGAGAACTCACTGTTGAAACACCAAAACCGCGAGCCACGTCGTCAATAAGCGAACCCCAAATCAACAAACTCAATCTCGAAACTGCATCACATCGAAGGGGGCATGAATTAAGAGAAGAAGGGATCCAATAATCACCGGATTGAGAAGCGCAACCCGGAGCTGGAATCTCGAAGAAACGCAGCCCTAGACGACAACCCTCGATCTTCATGGTGGGGACAGGGGCTAGCCTCCATCGGGACCACAACCGACCCCCATGAGAAGAGCCTGATCGAGAATGGCCGAACCACCAGAAGAAGATCGAAGTGTGGCGGAGCTTCCAAGGCGAGTCTCAGAAGATTGCGAAGTCTACAGTGGCCGGAGGGGAAAGAGATTGGCGGGCAGACGCCGTTCCGCACCCGATTTTACCCAACTCCGACGCTGGAATCGCTTGGGAGGGACTTGGATCAAGAGATCCACACCGGACCAGATATAAGAGGCGGGTAACAGATTCAAGCCATTCTCCACCGGTGACCCAAAGCAACCGGCTAGCAAAGGAGCCACGGCGGAGAGAACCTCATACCCAGACGCAGCCGTCTCATACGGTGTGTCGACCACCCACTCGTCACCTAACTGCAGCTCAGATCAAAAGGAACCAGGAGGCCAGAGCCTATGTAACAGAGGACCAGAAAGGGGAAGAAGATGGTTGCCCTCTCACGGCGCCGGTCGTAACCAACCACTGGAGAGGCAGGCGGAGAGAAGAGGCGGAAGAAACGATGTTTGTGTTTTGAGGAGAGAAATTGCCTCGCGTGATTTTCTTCAGTGGGTTTGATGACCAAAAAAGTTTACATGTGTTACATGTGTTATTAAGTAATTCGGCCAACATCGTTAACCTCACCCAACATTGATTACATGTGTTAGCATGTCCAAAATCTTGTTTACAACCTGGTTGAACTAACTTGTAATTGGTAAAGGTCGTGGCACTAATCCACATATTGATCCACACAAGTTTTGCCAATCCGCTAAACGTCCAAGATCACTTTTCTACATAAAGAAACAACGTTAGTGATATGCGTCCAAGATCATTTGATTCTATTTTCTGATGTCCTTGTTACTTATGATATTCTTTTTGCAGTCCTTCTTCCATGACGTTTGTAAAAAAAATCATCTACTTATAGCTCATCCACTCAGACTGATTTGTTAGTTCTCTTTACGATTAACAAACGGTCTAGCCTCATCAAATTTTTAGAGATATTTTAAATTTATTTCTTTGCTACATAATTTGAATTGTATTATTGTGTATGTTTAAAAGATTATTAAGAAATTAGATTATAAAATTTGTTGTATATTTTGTAAGTCTAGGATGATTGTTGATAGAGCAAAGATTCTTCTAGACGATGTACTGTTTTAGTGATCCATTTTCTAGCTTTAAGAGGAAAAAATATGTTTCCGGAAAATAAGAATAATAATTAAATTAAACTTGATTTATAATCGAACTGGAGGTGGGATGAATAGAATAG